CTCAACCGTTATAATACGAACTAAATAATTCGACACACTCATAAAAGAAACAACTTGTATTATGCACGATGAAAATGTATCTAAACCACCAACAACAAATAAGACGAAGAAAATCTAATTTGATCCAATGATTTTAAATAAGAAGAACAAAAAATTACAGGGATTTTTTGTGTGGTTCTTTGTTAATACAAAATGTTTTTAAATAAGATATCCCAAGCAACTGGTGGAATTTTCTAAATCTTCTTACGGGTCAGTGAACTTTAAACAATGCAAAGCCTAAGCAAACAATGGGTAATTTGTAATACCTCTCATTGCAAGAACCAGATGCTATGCATTTTCACTTTGAGGTACTACTCAGTCGGATCAACTGGTTTGCCATCCATAGCTATTTTTTCTACTCGCCTCTAGATGCAGCAGATGTAGTAGGAGACATATGTAGAGCCAAAGGAAAAAGAGCCACAAAGATGGAACCAAACAGTTGTGAAGTTAAAGATTTCAAGGGCATATATATATATATAGTATTTAAAAGTTTTGAGAGGTCAAGAATCAAATTCCGCAAAACAACGACCTTGACCGATACAAGCATTTCAATTTTATGATTCAAAAAAGACCAACCAGCAGATATCCCAAGCCATTGATAAACCTTGCACCTGAGCAGTTGCTGCCTTTGCAAGCAATTTATCTTCATGATTTTCTTCCTCACGTAGATTCTCTCCGTACTGCTCTTGACTCTGCTACTTTTTCCTCCTCGGGAGGTTGTATATATTCTGGATACGCTTAAGTTCACCTTTCACAACTTCATCATCTGCAAATTCCCAGCACTTAAAGTAACTTTCCTAAAGCCCTACAACAAAAACAACATATAAAGAATAAAAAAGGTCAAAATTTTACTCACAACAAAGTCATCATCTACAAATACGAAGATATTAAAACGTAACAATTTACAAAACTGGTCAGACCCGAAGAATTTGGGAAGAAGATCTCTAGATAACTCCTCTGGATTCCAAACGATGAAAATCTTGTCGTCGCTTTGGCTCCATAAGATGATTGAATCCAATTGTGACTGTGAGGCAGAGGAAGCACCGAGACGTCGTCTTCTCCCTTAGCCATGTACCC